GAATCTATGTTTAAACTGCCCAGGCTGAAGTTTTGAAAACAATTATCGTTTGTACCAGTTATGGTTCATCTTTTGGGGCCTGACTAGTTAATGCCTTACAGACACTGATGCCAACTAGGTTGACCACACAACACACCTACACACCACACACACTTCAAACTACTCTTTGCCCTCTCACGTCTGTTTCCCCTTCAAAGCCCCCCCACTCCCTCTTGTCCATGTGGCAGTCTACCAGGCAGCTGTAATGGCACACAGTGAAAGAATCCCAGGATACCATTAAAGCATTTCCAGTGACAGAGCATGTTTTAAAGTGAGTTACAGCTGTTGTGGAGCCAAAGTTCATGGTGGAGGGCCGGGGCTTTACGCACTCCTCCTATTGACTGTACTGCCTGATCCAAAAATAAATAAAGAAAAAAAGTGTAGCATTGCCATATGGAGCATTAAGTAATACATTTCACAATAGCTTCATGAGATTGGACTGACAGAATGTTGACACAGGAGTAGCCGAGCGGCAGCATGTGTCTCCTTCAAAAGGGGTTTCCCTGCTAGGTTTTATGGTCACACTAAAGTGGGTTGTGCAGTAGCAGGGGGGTCACATTGGAGGACTGATTGTTTTTCAAGATGGACCCTTTGAATTTTTATTTTTTTTAAAAATGTTTTTAGCCTTTTATACTGGTGAGGGATTGCACGACTCTCGCAATTTTCAAATGTGTGTTAAGCAAATCAAACCAGGAAATGAATGTGTGCATGTGTTATAAAAATGTAATATTGTACAGTCATGAATCAATATTTATAACTGCTTCAATTCCTCTATCAGCCTGGCTTTAATTAGGAATGATAGAATTTAAGAACGGAATAAAAAGTCATGAAAGTGATCCTATGTTGTGTTCCAGTTAGTGCTGATCTGAAAAAAATGCCACACTGCCAAAAATATCCGAGCCAGTCTTAACCTGCAGCCAGTTATTAGCTTCTTAAAATCCAGTTTTAGTGAAATATTTAATAAATCTGCCGTGTTGGTAGGAACTTTCCAAAACCCAGTCGTCATTATCAAATAAGACAGGATACACATTCAGCTGCAGGTACATCGTGCATTTCTAAAAACCCTAATGTATCTTTTCCTCTTTGCTGATTGCCTTAAAAGGTATACCACATGATGTGTGAAGATGGATAGTTTTGCAATGTAGTAGATTTGAGCTGCAGGGGGAGGGGAGTGAAATCATACACCAGTACAGATGGAGCTCCCTCCTCCACTTTTCTATAGTTTTTGGAAAAACAAGCTGAAAGAGGTACAATCCACAAAAAGGAGTGGCTCCCCAAACACAAATGCATATGCGGCTCATCAAATTACATTATTCACTCAGGAAACAAGACTGATCCATGGAGGCCCCGCAACCCACAGGATCCACTACTAATATCCTGGTGCCAGACACCCCAGTGTTCATGATCTGATGGGTCAGAGCAAGTACAAGCAAGCAGTACAAGAGGGATTTACAGTATTAGTCAGACAGTTTAAATGTTGTGGTTGATGGTTGTATAGTCTGTCTCTGATGTTATAACAAAGGCACCAGAGAAAACTACAAAAATCAGTTCAGGACTTAATCATTCAATTCTAGACAAAGTCTAACACGTTACATTGTAAAAATATAACATTGCCAATGAACTAAACCAGATATAAAAAAAAACAAACATCTAAAATGGTACAAACTTTCTAAAAAATGTTATCCAAATCCCCAAAATGCGCTAAACACTGGGATACATACAAGTGAAAACTCAAAGGTTAAAAGATATGCACTTCACAAAATGCAGCACGTAACAAAGCATGAGCTAAAGTTGAAAACATGTACAATAAGAGATGTGTTTTAGAAAATTATTTCTTCAGCCATTAGTGGAGATTGGCATAGAAAAAAACAGATTTTTCATTAGAAGGGTCATTAAAAGTTCCTTGTGTCACAGGATCCCCTCAGAAGTCTGTGGACTGACGAGTCAGAGCTGTTTTGGCAGCACCAAGGGAACCTACACAATGTTAGGCAAAGGATTGTAATGTAGTGCTTGATCAATGCATGGTCAGCAAGAAGCAGACAAAGGCTGCAAATGATATATTTAAAAAAAAAAAAAAAACAATAATCAATGACAAAAGATATGGAAAAATGTATCTATTTACATGTTATTTTGTTTTCCTTTGTTAGTTATTCACGTGGGTTTAACACAAAGTTCATAGAAACCAGCACTGAGTACTAGTGCTTATGTAAATGCCTACAGGCTTGAATGTCCATGCAAACACGCTTGTAAACAATGTGTGTGCATGTCAGAATGAAAGCACAGCCAAGTGTGCAACAGCATGGGTTTCTGTTTTGTAATAGCTTGGCACTGAGCCAACTCCTAGATGCACAAACACACACACACACACACACACACACACACACATGCTGCCTGATAGGGAGATCCCAGCACTTTTGGGTGCGAGCCAGACTGGGATACCACCAGATCCAGTTTCCTACATTTTCTGAGCCACTGCCAAAACTGCACGCCACAGCCCCTCTCTCTGCCTCAGCTCTTTTTGTCAACTTTCTGTGCAACTTTTTCCATCTTTGCCAGGAGTTTCTTTTATGTTTTACAGTCTCATCTCTTTCTCTCTCTCATCTCTCATCTCATTCTGCTTCACAGTGCCTCGTTTCATGTCATTAGAGGCTAAAATAAGTTTGACCAGCTGCCTGTCACCACTCTTTGCACTGAAGATTTGGGTCATGGTAACACTTTGACATGCTATTCAAGACAGCAAGTATAATGTAAAATAAAAACAAAAGCAATGCAAATAAGTTCATATTTTTATAACAGTAAAAAATATGACTGTTTACCAGCACTGAGTCTCTTGTTGTTTTTAGAAGTCTGAAGAGATGATTTAGGAGCTACTCTAAACACTGACTGCTCCATTTTGGTTAAGATCAGATTAAAACGTCCCCGCCTCTTTGGGGTCGTTTTATATTTAGCCCACATCTTGTTCCTATTTCCAAAGATGCATTTACTGCCCTCAAATGTGGTTTTGTTTTGCAGCTTTGAGCATGCTTACTACGCTGGCTCCACTCTGTCTGCCTAGCAGCCATAAGCATCTTTTTATTGTCCCATGACCATTACACTGAATGACTACATACAAATGACCCCCACAATACGGCACATCCTGAGGAATCTCTGAAGTGTAGACGCTGCTTTTACATGGAGTAGACATGTACAGCGAAAGGAAATTTGTCTCAATAAAAATAAGAGTTTTCAGCAAAAAGTGAACATTTTATAATGAGTGTGTATCTAAAATCAATAACAGGACAAGAGGAACACTTAAATAATGTTCTGTGGCATTAAATGTATATTTCCCAATGCCACATTACTGATAATAAGAAAAATCTGTAAATAGGCAATGAATGAATCATAGATGCAACGAGAAAACAGAGAAGTGGATGATGAGCGTTCTCTCCACAGCGTCATCTCACCATCCTCTACACGTAATTGGCCCTATATTGAAGCTATTGGTTTCACCCCCGATTTAAATTGCATTTCCATGCACTGGGTTGCTTTAATGTACAGCACTAATGCAGTCACTAATGTACACATCACATTTATGGAAGTCAGAAAATGATCCATCATAAATAAAAGATGACATGGAGCATCCACAATCGCTCAGAGTATAGATCTGTCTGCTGCATGCTGGAAATAAATTCAGACATCTGTATATCAATCAAATAACTTACTGTTATTAACCAGTCGCCAAGAAAACAAAAGAGCTGCTTAGTAGAAAGGCCTTCATTAGTTTGTACAGGCAAACATATGTCTATGACAGGCATTACAGACAAGGAACCTTGTATTTACTCAAATAATGGTTGACAAATTATTTACAAATGCATTCTGGATCAATGATAATCCATTATTATTATTAGTAGTAGTAGTATTAGTATTAATGATAATAATATGGACACATTATTCTTATTCTTGTTCTTATTCTTATTCTTATTCTTATTATGAGGACTTATTATCAGCAGGTTATAAAAAATCCCTTCAGCTAAATGCACCACATTACCACATACCTTCTGAAACAGGACTTAAACAGAAATTAATTTATTAATAACCTACTGATCATTTAATAATGAATCACCAGAATTTAGTCCTATTTCATTAGCAGATTAAAAGCCTTAAAACTAAATCAAAGTATTTAACAAAATGTAATCTTATTAATTGTTGCAAAATAAATGTACGTTGTAGTTGCTAACAATGCATTTATAAATGTTTGCAACCCATCAAAAAATGCCTGATAAGTTGTAAATAAATGTGTTTAGATCCAGATTCTGTGCAGCTCTCTTCTGGAAACTGAACGACTGGATTGTCCAGTCAAGGGATAATGTTACAACATGCAACTTACAGGTTATTATAGCTGATCATAATTATCAAAGCTATCAATTGCAAATTAATAACCCTAATTGACAGCCTGTTAAAACCGTATTTATACCAAATTGCCGTCCCAATCCAGTAGAAACTTGGTTGACTGTCAGCATTCTGCATGTGCTGTGTGTCCTCTGACACAAACCTACATGAGAGCATCTTATGTGGACAGACCATTACTGAACGGGCACTCTTCAGAAAGTGTTCTAAATTCATATCCAGTCATGTTCTCATTGTGTGATGGTGTCAAGGAACAAAAACAGTGAGCAAAAAGTCGAAGACCGGTGTACAATTTAAACAAACTATAATTGAACAATTGTTTGGCTGATTTAAATGAAGGAATTCCCGGAAATTATTCTGAGCGCCTGAGTCCAAAGGCAGCTTTAGATTGTTGGGTTTTCTGCTTAAAATCCCTGAGCTCAGTACCTCAGTGTGTTCAGCGCTGTGAGCTATTATGTTGTAAATTGCGCTGTATGAATAAATGTGAAATTGAAATTGAAATAGCAGTTTAAAGTCAAAGTGTTGACAGAACTGAATGAAGCCCGGAGAGCCGGTTCGGGTCGCTGCTGCCTCACCTGTTTGAACTGCTCCTCGTACGTCCACTCGTGGTGCTGGGACTGGGACTGGGACTGGTGCTGGGACTGGGTCTGGGACTGGGGCTGTGCCGCCGGAGACTCTGCGCGGCGGGCCGGAGCGAAGGCCGCCGGGACTTTGGCCAAGAGATGCACCGCGGCGCTCTTCGGAGACAGACAAGCTCCCTGGAGCGAAGAGTGCCGGTACTGGAAGTGGTTTAACCCGACATCACCCCCTTCTTCCTCCTCCTCTTCATCCATGATATCCTGCTCTTCCATGTCATCTCCCTCCTCGCCCCGCTCCGTAAAGTCGCTGCCCGGTTTGCAGCTCCCGTCCTCCACGGATCTGCGGACGTCCAAGTGTGGAAGTGTCACCCCGGGGGACGAGCTGCCTACTCCGGCAGCCAGGGCGCCGCGCATCGCCGCCTGGTAGTGGCGGAAAGCCAGAGCTTGTTGATGAATCTGGGACTCCACCATGGAGCGCAGGTCCTTCTCCTTCTCCGCCTGGCGGAGCTTCTCCTCCAGGGCCAGCCGCGCCGCCTGTTGCCGCTGCAGGTTTTCCATGACCGCCTCCAGCTTCATGCCGCCGCTGGCCGGCTGGTGGGACTGAGCGCCGGGGAACGGGCTGTGGGAGGAGGCGGAGGCAGCCTGGAGGGGAAGGCTGCTGGCGGACGAGAAGGAGCCTTGCTGCGAGGAAGGTGGTCGTGTAATGATTATTAGCGGCACTCTCTAAGATTAAAACACTTGTTCTAATTAGCCTCATGCTACCAGACTGTGAAGTGGAGCCGAATATAAACCTGTGACATATTTCACCATGGTGGAAAACTTGCACCGAGTGGCTGAACAATGTAAAACTGTGCAAAGTTTACAAGAGTGTAGAATTATTCATTACGTGCATTTGGAAAAGAAGAGAGACTGGACAGCAGAGCAGCTGTGTAATAATCCGGGCTGAGAGAAATAAAGACGGGACGCTTACCAAAGCAGATTTGGTTGCTATACTGGAGTTATCAACCATGCTTCTGTCCGGCAGATACGCACAAATGTTCTGAACCAGGTCACAGGAGTCTTCTCTCAGTCCAGACTAACGGCCCGCATTCAACATCCAGATACTTCGGTGTGGATAGCTGGCTGAATAATTACTGGAAATGTGTTTGGTGTTGAATGCTGGAGCCCGAGCTGCTTTTGGCAACAAGTGGCAACTGTGAGAATGACCTCCGGAGGCAGAGATCAGCCCTCCTGCTCCATCTGCCAACAACACGTCAATACCGAGGAGTAGTCAGGTACACCCAGGACTGCTCAGCACACCTCACTCCCACCAGCGTCACATTCATTCATTCATTCATTCATTCATTCATTCATTCATTCATTCAGCCAAATAATTTGAACTAGTTCCGTTTTGTTTGGAATAGTTTCCATTAACTGTGGTGATCAAACATTTAAAACTCCATTTCCTTTTGTATCTTCTAAAGCTTACCAGACAAGACTATTTAAAAACTGACCTGCTTCTGTTTTTATTGTGGTATGATGATAACAAAAAAAAGTAAACTTTTCTCTACATAATACTCAACATAAAGGTTTTTGTGTCTAATTCTACAAAATCAAGGTATTTATCACACTGATGCCAAAAACCCATGTAAAACTTCAATGTTGTCCAGACATAGTGATTTTCAGTGATGACCTGATACACCCAGATAGACAAAACGAGACGTGTCTCTGTGTAACACACTGTCAAAAATTTGCTAATGCTTGATAAATGTATATTTTTATTTTAGACCACCCTACTGTGACCTCTCACCTGCAGTGTACTGCTGTGTCCAGTGTCTTGACCTGAGAGATCACAAAAACACCACCGTTTAAGATACATTACATGTATGGCGCAAAAAAGGACACCCTTTTTGCACTGACTGACAGAAGACACTTTTGCTGTTCAGATTCTCAACTCTGAGATTAGACTTTCTACAGCCACCTGTGTACCCTAAAACATGTACTACAGTGCTAGTCCACCTGCCCTGTTCATTACACTGAAAGCCAGAAATCAACATACATTAAGAAAATGCATTGTATTTGGCAAATCTAGTGTGTTTCTATGATCCATAATGGAATCCAAATGCAAACTGCTTTAATTGATCTCAAAATCAGCAAAAACACGCAATATAAAAGTTCAACTTTTTTTTTTTTTTTTAACCAAAATGCTGTCTCAAGTGAAGAACTGTTATACTGTATGTCATGGGCTGTACTGCAGTGCAAACATAATTCTGGTGAAACCTGTAATTGCCTGCTGTTTACCACACTGATCCTGCAATTAAGGCTTTGTGTGATGTAGTGTATATCATTTGACTGAAGCAAATCAATTATCATCTGCATGGTCAGCACTGGTTTGGTGATTTATGCTAAAAAAAAAAAAAAGAAGAAGAAGAAGAAAAAAAAGAAGAAATTGTAGAAATGAAAGAAATGTCACCTAAAAGTAAGTGTTTTGTTTTTTCTGTCTGGTTTGAAAGAAAAACTATCTCAGATAAATGTTGCTTATTTTGGGAATCTGTTAGTAGCTAACCAAACCATGTGCATTGCATGTTTTTATAAAAGCAACAGACTCATTTCTTCATCTTTGTGAGTGATGACCACTGATAAGAATACATTGCAGAACTTTACTAAGTTGAATAAAATGAGGTGAATAAAATGTGGCTTTGCATTTGAGGTTGTGTCTGTTTAATTTTTAATTCAGAATTTGAGTATGAGTCTAAAACAGTTTTCTGTCTCAATATATTGGTGCTTTACAATAAAGGTAAAGTGTAATAAGAGATACTGAGTTCTAGTTTATTATTTTCTTTCTTTTTCGTCGGGTTTAGGTTGACGTGTGATCTTTTATATGATGATTGTTGATTGTTTTTATTCATGTTAGTTTTAAATTCCTAAACAGGTCGTATGGTGAAAAACATTTGAGTGGCTTCCTTGTGTAACTGTCTGCCAGTATTCTGGGATAGGGTTCACAGAACAGATGTACTGCTTCTGCACTGAAACAACACACAGAGCGGTTCTGTGCTGGTTTTAGGTATTGGACTGATCCTGCCACAGAGAGCTGATCTTAAACATGTAGCTTCAAGTTGTCATCCAGATGTTCAGCCAGTCTCTGTGTCTAGCGTATTATCTTTTTACAGTTACAATTATTTATTACAGAAATTTCAAGACAGGCAACTTAAAATAATTAATTTCTATGACAAATTATGCTAATATCCATTAAAAATCAAAAATGTCTTTCTGGATTTATAAAGTACTGTTTTGTCTTATCGTCTTCTGTAGTGAACTGGTGCAGTGCCTGAGGGTCAACCTGGAGAGGGATGTTGACTGAGCCAAGCAGCAGTGTTTTGCACTAGATACATTTCACTGGAAAAGACTGGACTTACAGATACAGGACATCAGGGATCCCCACAGGTTTTCTCCACGTTGAAGAATAATCCAGTTTCCTGTTAATTCTTTGGTATAACTTTTGATGTTATCAGTTTGTATCAGTCACATGTGGTTCGAGGGCTGAGCAAAAGAACGAGGCATAATATTAAAACTGCATTTAGTCAGCTGCTGAGGAAGAACTATGTTGTGCTTATGATCACTCCCTGAATTGGCTTCAAACATAACATATTTTTAAAAATGTGGGCATGCACAATCGCTGCTGAGGCAGCCTCATTTTTATTTGTTTAACAGGATTCTAATTGAGTATTTGACTTGCAGCCCTGCTTCACTGTAAAGTGCGCTGTGGAACAGCTCTACCTAGTGGATGTTCAGAGGACAAGGCACCAAGCAGCTGAAGGTTCCTGAGCAAGTCGGCACACAGACATCAAGCAGAGACTCATTTTCTAAGCAAAAAACAAATAAATAAATAAATGATGGTTAAATGCACCACCAACAGACCATCAAAAATTCCAAGTAGCACTTCTCGTGAATGAATTTATGTGGAGGTCAACAATGATCAATGATACTCGCCAGTATCTTGAAAATGGAAACACTTCCCCTTTTGTAACTTGTGGAGATGGCAGTTAAGATGGCAGCATGGTTTTTGAATGTATAAAGTCAAAAACATTAACAGATTACTGCTATTACGCTGGCTGCTTTGATGTGAATCATGGCAGAGAAGATTGTGCCGTCTAAAAGCTTTAAGGAAAGTGCACAGACTTTATGTCCTCCTGTGTGAGCTGTAGCAGTCAAAAACTGAAGTGATACTACTTCAGTAAGCATGGGTTGGGTCTGAAGACTGAGTGTTAAAATGAAAAAAGTAACATTTACATTCAGTTTTATATGCTGATCCAACCGCACTTTGTTTCTTAAATTGCCTCCTTGAGACAAATAAAGTCTTTTTGAATTTAATTGAATAGTCAGTAAAACATACATTTGAGGATGACATTACTGTGGTTGGGCTGATTATATACATATATATTTATATATTCCCCACCCCCCAATCCCCACTCTCAACCCAAGGCATCTCAAGGCTGCCTTCCCTGAGTCTGGTTCTGTCTGAGGTTTTTTTCTCCTCCCTTCTCACTTTACTATGTTAAGTGCTATGAGATAACATGTGTTGTTAATTGCGCTACACAAAAAAAATTGAATTAAAAAAAAAACTGAATTGATTATTGTCCATTTGGGCACTTGCAGTAGACTACATTATCCCGATATGCCAACAGCTGAGACATCCAGATATGTAAAAGCTGATTTAGATTTAAATGCAAGGCAAAATAGAATGTACAACAACCGAACTGCATGTTTTTCAGTTCAGTGTAATAATTTTTTGCTGATAGAGAGAGACATATATATATATAATAGAGAGGTAAGTTAAGGAGTTGGTGCTGGACTTCAGGCGGAAGAGGATATATTACATTATAATTATGTTTTAACTATTATATATTATACTATTCTATATTCTATATTTTGTATATATTTTATATATATTATATTACTTATAATAACTCTTTATTTATATCATTTATATTTCTCATATATCCACAGTGTTCCTACCTCAACAGTGCAATATATTTCTTCTGCAGTTTTTCTGAACATTCAAAACCAGCACGAGCTAATGGCTGTCTTTCCACTTGGCTTTGCTGATGATCACTATGTTTGCTTGTTTGTACGAGGTGTGTCCGAAAAGTTTCAGGACTGGTGTCACAAAAGATACATTTCAAACCCAAACTACAAACTAGGAGTTTTCCCCTTCAGACAGTCAACCAGCACGTCTACAAAGAGATCCTGTGGCGAGAAGAGGCGAGAGTTGCAGCAGGACAAGTCGTAGCTGCTTCACCATGACAACACGCCTGCTCACAATGCCCTGAGCATCTGACAGTTCCTGGTTGACAAGAACATCGCCGTGCTGGAGCAACCTCCCTACTCACCCCACCTGAATCCGTGGGATTTTTTCCTATTTCCCAAGCTCAAGAGGGTCATCAAGAGGACCCGTTTTGAAGACGTGGACGACATCAGATGGCTGTGACGACGGAGCTGCAGAGGCTCCTGGAAGAATCCTTCCAGGATTGCATGGCGGCGTGGCAGAGAAGGCTGGGAAAGTGTGTTAGACTCCAGGGGGATTACTTGGAAGGGGAAAACATGTAGTTTGTAGTTTGGATTTGAAATATATCTTTTGTGACACCAGTCTTGAAATTTTTCTGACACACCTCATACATGCAAGAGATAAAATAACAGAGAGACCCACTGATTGAAAATTGGCTTCATAACAAGTAGATGTCACAAAGACCACAGATGAACTCTGAGTTGAGCCCATTCTATTTGGAATCCCACATTTCTGAGGTCATGTTGCATGTTGCTTCACTACGAACATGAGTATATCAACCCAGCCTATTAAAATAATGCTTGAAACTTAGAAGGTTTACCTAAATCAGCAAATTTGAATTTTTCATTTTTGCCTGCATACATTTAATTGTTTAATTTTAATCTTGCGATATCATACATGAATTGTGTTTTACAGTGCAACTCTCTGTAATTTGGGTCTCACGGCTCTTGAGTAGACTCAGTGAG